ACGTGACTGACACGGCAAAAATTCAGACCTAGGTGTACTAACACACCCCCCTGTTACACAAAATACGCTAACCAGGATTTTCACAAGAAAATAAAGGGAGCGACACGGATCTAAACTAGCACGGCCTGGGCCTGCCACCACAACACCCACATGTGTTACGTTCCTTATCAGTGCGCATCCTTATCGACGCCTTTTGCACCCCTATATAGCCCCGGAAACACACACAGGGAAGAGTTGGGGTTTGGCGTTACGGCTCATGGACGCCTGAGACTTGCGAGTTTCTACTTTAACCTCGACAGTGGCAATGCTGTTGGCTTCATATATGGCTTCTCCCGGCCGGTCGGTTCTGTGCGGTCTTCCTAAGTCTTCGGGTTGCTTTGTGTCCACTTCGAAGTATCTTTGTAGCGACGGGTTTGACCTTGTCGACAAGCACCCGTTCGAAATCTCCGTAGAAGAGTTGTTTTTCTAGGCGCACATCGTCTATCCTCACGAGGTGGCCGCTTCTTCGCAGGCGCAGTCGTCTTATCATGGCGGGATGCCGAAGATTCCAGTCCATTCCAGAACTTCTGTGTCTGTGATCCTGTCCGCCACCTCCGCTTTACTGTCTCTCGGATACGACCGAGGTGGAAGTGGTTCAGCTTCGCGCTTCTTTCTTGTAGACTGTCCAGGTCTTCCCACCATTTAGCAGCGTCGTCAAGATGTCAGCTTTGTAAATCTCCAGTTTTGCATTAAGATGGTAACCGTGGCGATTCCATACGGATTTCTGTTGTCGATCGAATGCCTGACTAGCTTTGGAGATCCGTTGAGCCACCTCGTCATCGATATTGATGCAGCTTGCGAGTGTGCTGCCTAGGTAGGTGGATGCCGTTTGCATGGATGCGAGGGACATTGCATGCAGCATTAGGTGACGGTTGCTGCATGACCACTGTTTTGCTCGTATTGATGGTCATTCCGAAGTGAGCGCAGCCGGTGGCGAAGAGTCCCATGCTCCTACGCGTGTCTTCTTCGGGCGTGGTGTTGAGCGCGCAGTCGTCTGAGGAGCAGCAATCCTGGAGAGACGCGTTGAGGCCCGCTTGCGTAGGCTGTTGAAATGATCGTCGGTCCTGTTGGCGATGCACATCCCGGGGGCTCATCACGGTAGACATCCATCAGCATGGCAGGAAACGTGAGGCTGAAGAAAGTTGAGGCGAATACGCAGCTTCACTTCAATCCGTCGGCTACTGCGAATGCGGTGGACACGGTCCCATTGTCCGTGACATGCGCCATCCCGTCGTGGATTTGACGCGCCAAATGCGTGAGTCGCTCAGGACAGCCGAATTTCAGCATGAATTTCCAATGTCCATCACGTTCACCGTGCCAAAGGCTTCCGTCAAGTCCACTAAGGTAGTGTAGAGCTGGGTCCGCACTTCCCGGGTTAATTTGCAGGCGCTTCAAGGAAGTCTTCAGAGTGTCATTGTAGTGCCGGACTGGAACTCCTTGTCGACGAAAACCCTTGGTGATATCTCCATAGAAGAGTCGTTTGGATAGTCGCTCGTCGCCCATCAGCACTAGGTGACGGCTCCAGCGCAGTTGCAGCTGCATCAGCATGGCGTATATGCTGAGAAATCCGGTACGCTCCAGTTTGTCCGCGTCCGGGATCCGGTCTTGCCATCTCAACTCTAATATCCGTCAAAGACAGCTGAAGTCGAAGTGGTCGGGCTTCCGTGCGTGCTTCTTGTACACCATCCTGCAGCAACGTTCACAGGATGACTTTCTTGTGCATTATAAGTTTAGTGGAGACCGTGACGACAAGAGACGATGTTCTAAAAACGATCGAAGACTTTGCTAGCCTTGGAAACTGGGCGGGCCACTTCAACGTAGATTATGGTGCTGCAAGAGATGGTGCTGCCCAGGTAGGTGAGGCTTCCAATTGCTTGAATTTGCGCACAGTCCACGTCGATTTTGGGTGCAGTGAAGGAATGATTGTATGGCGGTTAGTGCATGACCACCGTCTTCTCCTTGTTGATGGTCAGGCCAAAGTTGTGTCGGGCGACGAAGAGGTCCATGCCCCCTTTGCATGTCCCCTTCTGTAGTTGCGCTGAGGGCGTAATCGTAGGCGAAGAGAAGTTCGGGGATGGAAGTTGTGGACACACGCGACTGGAAGTGCATCCGCCGCTGATTGAGGAGTTGGCCGTCCGTCCTGTAGGCGACGCGGATTCCGGGGCGTTAATTGCAGTAGGCGTTTATTACTCTGACATAGGACATGAGACTGAAGAGGGTAGGAGCAAGGACGCAGGTCTGCTTCACTCTCTTGGTCACTGCCAATGCCTCTGACACGGTTCCATTGTCCATGACGGGCGCCATTATGCCGTCATGGAGCTGACGCACCATCCGAGTGAATTGCTCAGTACAGCCGAATTTCTGCATGAGTTTCTGCAGTCCCCCGCGAATCACCGTGTCAAAGGCTTTCGTCAGATCCACGAAGGTAGAATTGAGATGGATCCGCATCTCCTGACATTTCTCCTGCTGTTGGCGAGCGGCGAAAATCGTGTCGGTTGTGCCGCGATGACGGCCGAAGTAACACTGGCTTCCTGACAGACGTCCCTGTTCCAGCTGGCTGTTGAGATGGTTGAGGAGAACGCAAACGAAGATCTCTCCGGCGATGTTGGGCAGCAAGATTCTTCTGTGGCTGTCACAGAGTGGACAGTTTCCCTTCCGCCAGTGGCAATGGACGATTGTGACGTCATTGAAATCGCGAGGGACTTCTCCCTGACTCCATATTTCCTGGAAGAGAGCTGTCAGTTGTTCCACAAGTCGGGGGTCACCGTGCTTGTAAATCTCAACAGGGATTGCGTCCGGTCCGGACGCTTTCCCTCTCGAGAGCTGCTGCAGGTCCTGATGGTTTGGCGTAGAGAGGGCAGGAGGTCTAGATCGGCGTTGGTGGTGGCGCATCGGAGATGGTAGAGTGGTCTATGAAGTGTTCGCTCCATCGCTTCAGAAGTTGCGTCTTCTCAGCGGGTAGGGTGATTCCGTCGGTGTTGAGAAGAGGAGCGGTGTCTTTGGCTGTGGGACCGTAGGCAGTCTTGGTCGCGGTGAAGAAGTTCTCCCATTCGCTGAGGTCTGAGAGTCCTTGCGTCTCCTTTGCCTTACGAGTCATCCAGTCGTCTTGCATCTCCCGCAGCCACTGTTGCACAACGCGCCAACTTTGGAAGAAGGCTGCTTCCTTGTCATAGATATGGCGGTTGGTGTGGGCTTTGTGTAGCCCATTCTGCTCGGCGAGAAGATTTCTGATGGTGGCGTCCCTGTAGTTGAACAGACGGTGAAAACAGACGCAGCGATCTACGAAAATGACCGTATAACCGCCGCCAAAGCCAAAAGAGAAGTTCGCAATTCTCAACTGTCCCACCTAGCGACGCCAAATCTCAACCACTCCCGACCTGCTGACGATGTCAGCGGACTTCCGGGCATCAATCGGTATCGCTGGTCATATTCGAACCAACTGCAGCACCCCGACGAAACCAGCCGGTGCCTCACCGTCCTCGCCCCCCACATCGACAATCAACCCAAACCTCGCTTATGATCTCCCACTCTCATCCTCCACAGCCTCAACATCTGCTGCGGCGGCTCCTGTCCCCAACACCAGAGTACACAGCATTGACGCACCGACAAACCGTCCCTCCACCATCTCCGACGCCGCCATCGCCACAGCCAAAGGAACCGCTCCTCTTCTCAGCGCCGACGGAATCACCCTACTCAATGAGAAGACGCAAATTCTGAGCGATGGGCTGAACACTTCATAGGCATGCTTTACCGCTTTTCTATCATCTGTGATGCGCCATCACCCGTCTGCTGCAAGTAGAAATCAACGCCGACCTCGACCTCCCTCTCCCTCTCCACGAAACCACTAGGGCCGGGCAGCAGCTCTCCAGCAGGGAAGAGCCCGGATCGGACGCGATCCCTGCTGAGATCTACAAGCACGGTGGTTCCAAACTCATGGATCATCTGACTGCGCTCTTTCAGGAGATGTGGCGTCAGGGAGAAGTCCCTCACGATTTCAACGACGACACATTCTTGAAGAAGGAGACACGATCGCCGGGACGGAGGTCGTGTCCCCTTCCACAAGACTACTTCCTGGGACGTCACAATCGTCCGTTGCCACTGGCAGAAAGGAAACTGTCCACTCTGTGACAACCACAGAAGAATCTTGCTGCCCAACATCGCCGGAAAGATCTTCGTTTGCGTTCTCCTCAACCATCTCAACGGCCATCTGGAACAGGGACGTCTGTCAGGAAGCCAGTGTAACTTCGGCCGTCATCGCGACACAACCGACACGATTTTCGCCGCTCGCCAACAGCAGGAGAAATGTCAGGAGATGCGGACCCATCTCAATTCTACCTTCGTGGATCTGAGGAAAGCCTTTGACACGGTGATTCGCGGGGGACTGTAGAAACTCATGCAGAAATTCGGCTGTACCGAGCAATTCATTCGGATGGTGCGTCAGCTCCACGACGGCATGATGGCGTCCGTCACGGACAATGGAACCGTGTCAGAGGCATTGGCAGTGACCAAGAGAGTGAAGCAGACCTGCGTCCTTGCTCCTACCCTCTTCAGTCTCATGTCCTATGTCAGAGTAATAAACGCCTACTGCAATTAACGCCCCGGAATCCGCGTCGCCTACAGGACGGACGGCCAACTCCTCAATCAGCGGCGGATGCACTTCCAGTCGCGTGTGTCCACAACTTCCATCCCCGAACTTCTCTTCGCCTACGATTACGCCCTCAGCGCAACTACAGCAGGGGACATGCAAAGGGGGCATGGACCTCTTCGTCGCCCGACACAACTTTGGCCTGACCATTAACAAGGAGAAGACGGTGGTCATGCACTAACCGCCACCAAACACAGCCCCTCCGCGCAATGCGCCGCAGATTAGCGTGATCGGAACCAACTGCAAGTGATGGATAACTTGCCGTATCCAGGCAGCACTCCTCCCGCAGCACTAGAATCGACGACAAATTTACCCGCCGAATTTTCAAAGCCAGCTAAGCCTTCGGTCGTCTGCGGTACACCGTCTAGTACCGTCACGGCCTCTATCTCAACACGAAACTGAAGATGTACAAGGCCGTCATCGTCCCGACGCTGCTCTATGACGCGGAGACCTGGACAGTTTAAAAGAAGCAGACGCGAAAGCTCAACCAATTCCACCTCAGCTGTCTTCGCCGCATACTTAAGCTGAATTGGCAGGACCGAATCCCGGACCCAGATGTACTGGAGCGTGCGGGAATCCTCAGCACCTACGCCATGCTGAGACAGCTGCAACTGCGCTGGGGCGGTCACCTCGTGCGGATGGACGACGAGCGGCTATCCAAACGACTCTTCTAAGGAGACGTCCCCACGGGTTCGCGCCGCCAAGTAGGCACAATCCGCCGATACAAGGATACTTTTAAGATCTCCCTGAAGAGTCTGCAAATCAATCCGGCCAACTGGTAAGGCCTCGCTTGAGACGGGTCGACCTGTAGGAGGACAGTGAAGACAGGCGCTGTGATTTACGCAAATGACCGCATAACCGCCGCCAAAGCCAAACGTGAAGCATGCAAGTCTCAGCTGCGCCCACTCCGCAGTACCAACACACAACCACCCCCAACGTGTCCACGATATCAACGGACATTCAGGACGTTAAGTGGACTTGTTGGGCACCTTCAGACAAACTGCAGCCCTCGGATCGCACCAGCCGTCGTCCCTCCACCCACATCTCCCCCGTCCTCGCCGCCGTCAAGTAATTCTGAATGCCCTCCTGAACTATCACTTCCATCCTCCTCTTCCTCCTCCTGCTCCTCCTCCTCTGCTCCTCCTCCTGCTCCTGCTCTTCCTCCTCATCTACCGCCCCAGCATCTACATGCACATCAACACTACACGCAATCCCAATACGCTAACAAGCACCAACACTACAACCTCAAACACCAGAGGTGAGGACGCGGACTATACCTGTCCTCACTGCGACCGCACACTCACCTCGCACATCGGCCCGGTCGGTCACTTGCGAATCCTTCGCACAGAGACTGGCGAACCAGTGCCTGGAACACCCACCTATACCCATTAAGCTCGTCTCAACTGCCCACACTGCCCACACTTTCAGGCATCGCATGGGTCTCTTCGGCCACATGTGCATCCAAGAAAACCTGCGGTAGACAACTGCCGGCTGCTCCGCACCACGACATTCCCCCTCACCAGCATCTCACCGCACATCAACATCAGCCACCGTAAGCACCCAACTGCCGTTTGTCACACATGTGAGAAATGTGCGTCTCGACTCGGTCTCCGTGCGGCTCCTGTCCCATGAGTGACTTGAGCTTGAGACTATCCTGACGCGTCAAGCGCCGCGGATTGGTAGGCTGCTGATTGACGCCCCAATTCTATCCACGCAGTCCAGTCAGTTGTGCGTATGTTTGTGTGGAGTGGCGGACTGGTGGACTGAGAGCCGGGCCGAAATGTGTGAAATCCTGGTACTTGTGTTTGGGTGGTCAGGTCGTGCATGTGGAGCGCGCAGACAAGGTCACTAGACCATTTCAGCCACCGCGCCCATTCCCCGTCCCAGTCAACTTGCCAGCCTGGACCGTGGCTGAGATACGGGAATGGGAATGGAGAGTGAGGTCGACAACTCGGCGCATTTTCTTCACTGTAAACAATCTGACGTGCTTGAAGCTAGCACAGTGCGCCAAAAGCCGTGACTTGAAAGGTTGTCAACTGACGGAATAACTTGGACCTCGCTGTCGGCCGAGTGTGGTGTGTGTTTTGTGGAGTGGTCGGCTGGTGGTCTGAGAGTCAGGCTGCAATGGCTCCTTCTTAATGTGGCCTTTATGACAATCTCACTACGTGGGACCCCAGCCGGGCGTGGGCGGCACGCCTAAGTGCGGCTTCGGCCGTTCCAGCCTCCATTTTTTGTTGTTGATCAAAGTCTGGTTATTTGTTGTGTGAACGGGGAGGGGTGTGGAGTGGAGCGCCAAGGTGCGGACTCGACCGTGTCATCCACTTGCGCTCTTCCCCGTATCCGGTATTTTTGCATTTGTGTTGACATCGGGTCCAGGTGTTGGAGGACGGGATTGTACCGTCGATACTGTGCAAGTCTTCTATCACTATAAACCAAATTTTTGCACAAGTCACCGTCCCAGCTCTCACCCTGCTTTGAGGTACATGGTGGATATCATCGAAACCGATCATCGAACTGTCGTGTCTGTGAATGTGTGTGGGCTGTAGGAGTGTACAGGGGTGGGTTCACGTGATGGTCGTAGTGGTCGCTCACTTGCTTGCACGTGAGACTACGCCTAGCGTGGATTTGCTAGCACTCAACTCTCACCTGTAGCCCCACGTAGCTAGGGTCTGATCAGCGGCCACACCCCGGGCAACCGCCTCGACCGGTGGGCTAAACCAGGTGAGGGTATCCGTGCGTGCACCTGTACATATGGTACTGGGGTCTCTGCTGGCCGGATGGATCTTTGCGTCGACGTCGTCGAGACGAGGCTCTGCCTGGGCCATCGCTGGAGGCCGCCAGGTAAGTGAATCCTCAGGTAAGTGACATTCGCTCTGCTTTACTTCCTTACTGGTTTGTTTAAACTCCATGCCGTATGCTGCTCTTGTTGTCTCTGTATCTGCTAGTCTGTGCCTCTCTCTGCTAATAGCTAGACGTTACTGTGCTCGACTTCGAATGATGCTGCTACTTACTTGTCTCACTTGCCTTCGTAATTGCCTGCTTAATTCATGTACTGTCTGCTGCCCTTGTCTGCGTCTGTTTAGCTGTCTATCAGTCTGTGCCTCTCTCTGCTAATAGCTTGGTTTTACTGTGTTTGACTTCGAATGGTGCCATGCTACTCCTCCCTGACTGATAACTGTGTCTGCTTGTTCTAGCTGTAAGTCCCATAGCGTTCTGTTGTGTGTATGCTCTCTCCTTCTCAAATTCACCCCATCACCACCAAGGTCCCAGACTAACTCGGGTCGTTCTCTCATTAACAAAAAGTCGTGGTCCATAGTTAAGTTCGGCAGCCGTCCGGGATAACCGGGCAACCCTATTTAGGGGGTGCACTTCCTGCCCTCGCGAGGGGAAGGGGCTGGGAAAGGTGTCCTAAAAATAGCTGGGAACCACGCTGTCTGTAGGCTGGCCGTGGTCGCAGAAAAAACATAGACGGTCGAAACAGCCAAAACCGAAACAACAACAACAATCTCTCTTCCTCATCCCGCCTATTCTCCTACTTCCCCTATTCCTAGTTTTCGCAGCCGCAGCCGCAGTCGCCAGACTGGCAGGGTGAGTCCGCTCACTCTAGCAGCCTGGAATGTTTGTTCCTTTTTAGACAATCCGAGGAGCAACCGATGGGAATGGAGGAAAGCGCTAGTGGCCTGGGAACCGGCGCGCTAAAAGGTGGACATCGCCGCACTTAGCGAGACTCGATTCTCCGAACAAGGCCAACTGGAGGAGGTGGGTGCCGGCTACACCTTCTTCTGAAGTTGTCGCCCCAGGACAGAGCGACGAGACGCGGGTGCCGCCTTCGCCATTCGGAACGACATCGTGGGACATTTGCCTTGTCTGCCACAGGGCATCAATGATCGCCTGATGAGCCTCCGTCTGCCCCTCTGGGGAGGCAAATTTGCCACCATCATCAGCGCCTACGCTTCGCCGATTACCAGCCCCGACGTCGCAAAAGACAAATGCTACGAGAAACTGCACGCCGCTTGGCGACTGTGTCGAAGGCGGACAAGTTGTCCTTGGTGACTTCAACGCCGGCGTCGCACAGACCATGCTGCCTGGAGAGGAGTGCTGGGTCCTCATGGTCTCCGCGGCTCAAAAGAAAATAGTCTGCTGCTCCTCCGCACTTGAGCAGAATGCCGCCTTATCCTGACGAACACCTTCTTATGTCTGCCGCAGCTAGAGAAGGCCACCTGGAGGCATCCTCGGTCGCGTCAATGGCACCTGCTGGACTATGTCCTCGTTCGGAGGCGAGATCAGCGGGGCGTGCTGGTGACAAAGGTGATCGCGGGCGCTGACGGGTGGGCCGACCATCGCCTCGTCATCCCAAAGACGCGTATTGATCTACAGCCTCGCAGGAGACCACAAGGTAAGCGACCCCCATGTAAGCTGAATACTGCCTTGTTGTCCTTGTCCGCTCACCATCTTCATTTCGGCAATGAGCTAGCTCAACGGTTAGACAAACTCCTAGTCGCTGCAACCGCCGCCGCCGCCGCCGCCGCCGATGCCGCTGCCGCTGCCGAGAACGCCTCCGTGGAGAACCTCTGGTGTCAACTGCGAGACACGGTCCAGTCGACGGCGCTAGCTGTCCTCGGTTGCGCACACCGCCAACATCAGGACTGGTTCGACGACAACGACGCCGTCATCAGCAATCTGCTCGCCGAACAGAATCGCCTAAAAAGCCTACGTAAACCACCCCACCGAGGACAACAGAGCTGCTTTCTACCGCAGCCGTCGCCAACTTCAGCAACGAATGCGCAAGATGCAGGACGCCTGGACTGCTCGAAAAGCTGAGGAGACCCAAGGCTACGCGGACCGTAACGAATGGAAGAACTTCTTCTACGCAATCAAAGCTGTCTACGGTCCGCCGACGAAAGGAACTGCTACTTTCCTCAGCGCCGACGGCAGTACCCTCCTGACCGAGAAGACGCTATTTATACAGCGATGGACAGAGCACTTCCGAGGCGTCCTTAACCGCCCCTCCACCATCTCCGACGCCGCCATCGACCGTTTGCCGCAAGTAGAGACCAACGTGGACCTCGACCTCCCGCCATCTCTCCAGGAAACCATCAGGGCTGTGCAGCAGCTCTCCAGCGGGAAAACACCCGGATCGGACGCAATCCCTTCTGAGGTCAATAAGCACGGAGGTCCCTAACTAATGTACCACCTGACTGCGCTCTTCCAGGAGGTGTGGCGTCAAGGGGAAGTCCCGCAAGATTTCAAAGACGCAACCATCGTGCATCTCTACTAACGAAAAGGGAACCGCCAAGTCTGCGACAGTCACCGCGGCATCTCCTTGCTGAACATCGCCGGGAAGATCTTCGCTCGCATCCTCCTCAACCGTCTGAATAATCCTCTGGAACAGGGCCTCCTACCGGAAAGCCAATGCGGCTTCCGTCGTCATCGCCGAATCACGGATATGATGTTTGCCGCCCGTCAACTTCAGGAGAAGTGTCAGTGGATGCGGACCCACCTGTACTCTTCCTTCGTGAACCTGATGAAAGCCTTCAACACGGTGAGCTGTGAAGAAATGTGGAAGATCATGCAGAAATTTGGCTGTCTGGAGCGATTCGTTCAGATCGTGCGTCAGCTGCACGACGGCATGATGGCGCGAGTCACGGACAACGGTGCTGTCTCAGAGGCATTCGCAGTGACCAACGGAGTGAAGCAGGGATGCGTGCTGGCACCAACCCTCTTCAGTCTAATGTTCTCTGCCATGCTGATGGACGCCTACCGTAATGAACGCCCCGGGATCCGCGTCGTCTACAGGACGGACGGTCACCTCTTAAATCAACAATGGATGCACTTCCAATCACGCGTATCCACAACCACCGTTCACGAACTTCTCTTCGTCGACGACTGCGCTCTGAACACCACCTCGGTAGAGGAGATGCAAGGGAGCATGGACCTGTTCTCCACCGCATGCGAGAACTTCGTTCTGGTCATCAACACGCAGAAGACGGTGGTCATGCATCAACCGCCACCAAACACAGCCACTCCTCCCAACGTGCCACAAATCAACGTGGACGGAACCCAACTGCAAGTGGTGGAGAACTTTCCGTACCTGGGCAACACCCTCTCCCGTAGCACCAAAATCGATAACGAAGTCGCTCGCAGGATCTCCAAAGCCAGTCAAGCCTTCGGTCGCCCCCAAAGCACAGTTTGGAATCGTCACGGTCTCCAACTGAGCACGAAGCGGAAGATGTACAAGGCCGTCATCCCGCCGACACTGTTGTACGGAGCGGAGACGTGAACAGTGTGCACAAAGCAGACACGCCGACTGAACCACTTCCGCCTTAGCTGTTTTTGTCGCATCCTGAGGCTGAGCTGGCAGGATTGTATCCTCGACACTGATGCGCTGGAACGGACGGGAATCCTCAGCAACTACCTCATGCTGAGACAAATGCAGCTGCGTTGGAGCGGCCACCTGGTGCGCATGGACGACGAACGACTACCCAAACGACTCTCCTACGGAGACGTCGCGACGGGTTCTCGCCGCCAAAGAGGCCAAATTCGCTGATAAAAGGATACGCTGAAGTCCTCCATGAAGCGTCTGCAAATTAACCCGACCACCTGGGAAGAACTTGCCCGCGATCGACCGACCTGGAGAAGGACAGTGAAGACAGGCGCTGCGATCTACGAAGCCAGCCGTATTGCCGTCTCCAAAGCGAAACGCAAAACACGCAAATCACAGCCACGCCCAGTCCGCAACGCCGACGCACAACCGCTTCCAATGTGTCCTCGAGGCCGTCGGACATTCCGGGCACGAACTGGACTTATTGGACACCTTCGGATCAACTGCACCTCTCGGACAGCACCCACTGTCGTCCCACCGCCCACCTCTTCCCCGTCCTCTCCGCCGCCAACTAACTCTGGCCAATCTTCTGTACCACCACTTCCATCCTCCTCCTACTCCTCCTCCTCCACTGCCCCAACGATGGCCGTTCAGGCGGCCGTCACGCACAGCAACAACCCTGACACAACAGCCGACACCACCCCCCTGCCTCCGACTCCAGCGATGAGGACGAGAACTACAGCTGTTCACACTGTGACCGCTCCTCCACCTCACGCATCGGCCTGGTCGGTCACTTGCGAATCCATCGCACAGAGGCTGGCGAACCAGTGTCCGGAGCACCAACCTACACCCACCGCACTCGCCTCCACTGCCCACACTGCCCTCGCACTTTCACGCATCGCATTGGTCTCTTCGACCACATGCGCATCCACGAACACCTGCGGCAGACCACCGCCGGCCGCACCACACCATCACACCCTCCCTCCCTCACCACCGCCAGCACCACCCCACCACGCATCAACACTCACCCATCGCAAGCACCAAACTGCCACCTGCCACGCAAGTGGGAAGTGTGCATCTCGACTCAATCTCCATGAGGCTGAACTAGCAGGTCATAGTTATGAGACGCGATGCCTGCATAGCCTCTGGGACAAATTTTTCATTGAAAATGGCATTCTGTTCCATCTTGACAATGAACAATACCCAAAGCGAGTCGTCCTACCGCTTTCGATGGTGGATGACGTGGTTGAAAGGATGCATGCGAAACTAGGGCATTCCGGCATCCATTTGACCGAGTGGGCCTTTCGTTGACGGTACTACTGGCCGAATCAGAAGACCGACATACAGAACGTTGTCCGGTCTTTTGAGCACTGTTTAGGCTTTAAGTCCCCGGACACTCCTACAGAGGCCCGCTACAGCCAATCAAGACAGGCTACCCCAAGGAGAGGGTAGCGGTAGACCTAGTTGGCCCAATCGCGCCATCCGCGAGGGGAAATAAGTTCATTCTCGTCATGGTAGACTGTTTCACCAAGATGGCTGAGGCAGTACCCCTACCAGATGCGTCTGTCCCCACAGTAGCCCGAGCCATTTTCAACGGGCGGATCTGCTGTTGGGGGGCCCCGGACCAACTCCACTCATACCGAGGCTCGTCGTTCGAGAGCAGCGTCGTACACGAGTTGTGTAAGGCTCTGAAAATTAAGAAAACCCGCACTACCGCGTACCACCCACAAGGCAACGACCAGGTGGAAAGGACGAATCGACCGTTGATCAATCTGTTGCGGGCTTTTTTCGGCCGGAACTCAGCACCCACATGAGTCGAAGCCCTGCCAGCGTGCATGTTGGCTTCCCGATCCACGGTAAATGCCACTACGCAACACATGCCGTTCTTCCTAACGTGCGGGAGGGAGATGCAACTCCCTGAGGATCTCCACCTACCTCCTACACATCCGGTTGAAAACGTCGACACGTACGCCTCGAGGACGCGAAAAACCCTGCACATAGCATCGGAGGAAGCGCGCTTGCATTTCCAGGAAGATCAGCGCCGTCAGAATGCATTCTATGATCGCCTAGCCCACGGGACCCCCTTATCAAGAGGGTGATATCGTGTGGATGCGGAATTTTGCACCGTCGCCGAGTGCACCTCAGAAATGTAACCCAGCATGGATAGGCCCGTACGTGGTTAGAAAGGTCCTCTCCGACACGACTTGCGTCGTTTGTAGCCAGGACAGACCGTACTCGGAAGAGTTTACGGTACACTTCAATCGCTTAAAGCCAGGTCCATCGACAGAGGAGGACACAAACCGTGCCGACACGAGGGCAGCCCGTCCCACGCATACAACGACCAACTAAGTGAACAGTATTTAGAGGTCCCCCTAGAAGGCTGTTGCGCTTCGGCTGAGGTATTCAGAGATGGACATCCGATGGCGAAGACTGTCGAAGTGCCCCCAGATGGTGGACCCGCCATCGCACTAGATGATTCTGCTGAGGAGAGCAGACCCTTTTCGCAAGGAGAAGCAATGTAGGAAGTTCTAGAATGCCAGACTACGTGCGGCCGTCATCTTGGAGAAGGGTCTAGAAAGCGCGTCTCTATAGGGGCGCACACGCCAAACTTTTCCATATTCATATGCCAGGCACTTAGTCGCAGTTTGGCCTCTCACAAAAAGTATGCATAAAATAAATTATTATAACCCTAAAATTAAGTAAGATAGCCCTGGCCTAGGTTTGTTTAACTTTCCACCCTCAACCTATCCTCAACCAATCAACAATAGCGGACTCAACCTCGTCGACTTCCGCTCTGGAGAAGCTATAAATACGGGCGAGGATCAACCTCCGACAACCCCGTGGCAGACCGCCAACCTTCGGACGTGGGACCTATGTCGCTGTCTTCGTTAGATTCCCGTGCTTCCGCCAATCCTGCTGGACAATCTCTCCTTGCCCCAGTTTATTTTTGTAATTAGGTTTCCCCTTTTAAGTCTCTTATTGTACACAGTCGTTTAAGTGCATAGAAGTTGCCGAAGCCTTACTTTCCTGGGCCGTCTCTCGTAGTGACATTCGGGCACGTTACAAACACTTTGTTCCCCATGCTGCGATCCACCGCCCTATTATTTATCCTGCCAATAGTCTTTACAGGAATCTCCCTAAGTATTTTATCCTTCAGACTAGTTTGAGTTTTCCACTACTTAAGGTCGAAAGTTCTTACATAAGTTACTCTAGATCTCTTAACCTACATTCTAGGCCAGGTTTCCCATCATCTAATTCTTATAGCTGCCTACTCTCCCCCCAATGGCATCTATCGTCCTTTTAGCTTCCCACCTTTCCAAGTTAACTGCTAACAAGCCTAGTTATGTTCTAACGCTCCTAGTACTCCAATATTTGCAAACCATATGGCAACATCTTCAAGGCCTCCCTCTCAACGTTTCTTTGTAGACTCTTTCTATGCCAATAGTATTGGACCCATTGGTAATTATTCTTCAAATAAAAACAACTTATAGCACACTTATTGACCTCCAAATTTTTCTCTAAATGACGTTGACAATAGTCACGCTGCTCGAAACTTGTTAAATATTACATTATTAAGTTTAAGGTCTGTGATAAAGGAGATGGCCCAAATCAGAGATCTTGCTCTCAAAATGATTCTCAATGTTAAATGCATAAACGAGTCCGTTTTCATAAAGAACTTTGATTTCTACTGTCAAGACTGGACAACTAGACGTGAAGGTAGTTGTCTTGTTTATCTTAGACCTTCATTGAAGCACTTTCCCTATGGTCTTGCTGCCCCTTCATTCTCTGAAAATTTCTGTTTCGCATCTATTCTTTTCCCAAGACAAAGAAAGGTCATTCATGGGTGTATCTACAATCCTTTAAACTCTCCAACCAGTGATTATGCACAACTTTGTGAGGTTTTAACATTAGTTTCGAAATGTACCTTCGGTGTTAAAATAATCGCTGGTGACCTTAACTTCCCTGAAATAGATTGGCTTTCGAATATTTGTTTACTTAGATTTCAGCTTTCTCAGTATATTATGTATTTTTCTAACTGGTTTCGACTTGTGCAGTCTCCAACAGGGGATGACAACATTTTAAATTTTACCTTTGCCAGCGATATTTCCCCCATTCTCATTGCTGTCAAAAAGGACATTTGGGATAATGACCATGCATTAACTCACTGCTGCCTACCGTTTGACTTTTCGAAAAAGACCAGCGCAGTCCTCACATACCTAAATTACGATTTCGTAGACAACGACTTTATAAATAACTATCTTGGATCACTGGATTGAAATTACTTTCTCTTCTGTAATGATGAAACAGTTCTTCATGACGTCGCGTCGGATGTTCCAAAGACATCTTAGAATTTTTGCCTCGTACCTAACTCTTCGGATTGCCGCCTTCCTCACTTCTTTTATAACAGTCTAAAAATTCGAGCAGGCAGCTTCATGGCTTTTAAATTAGTTCTTTATCTGTCCATCAGGAGTCACGAAATTTTCGAAGTTACCTCGAAGATGCACCAAGCGCGCAACAGGCAGGGAAGATTACTTCAGCCCTGCCAAATATGTCGCCAAATCTCCCGTCCTTGGTCCTCCTCTGAGCGAGGGCGCGAAATTACGTCTTTGCTAAAGAATAACGACGTCTTACTCATAAATGACACTGACAAGGCGGAATTGTTCGATGCGCTCTTTTCAAAACATCAGTTTCTTTCTTTCGTCCGCTTCCAAATAGGACACTCAATACAATCGGTGTTTCCTCAAACCTAAGTAAGAAACACGTAGTCGTTTCAAAACTCACACAGTTCGCAACGGACAGCATTGCGAACTAAATTATAAGACAGATATCGGACATTTCCAGATTGCCTAGTCATTTATTCTCAGTCTAAATTCGGACAGAATTTCTCCGAAATCCTGGAATACCTTAAATACCCTTTCAGTTTTTGAGTCTGGATCTCGATCCGATGTTAGTAATTATTAAGACGTGCACAAAACTCCGTCTCTAGCTAAACTTCTTGAAAAGATAATTCCCAATAGAATTCTTGATTCCTACCTATCTGGTCAGCTTCTGAGATCTAATTGGCATGGATATTTGCCTGATAGATCCTGTGAAGCTTGCCACATAACCTTTCTTAATCTAACGACTACTCTTTGGAATGAACGTCAGTCAATGGTAGTCATCTACTTTGCTCGTGGCAAAGCCTTCGACAAGGTAACATACTGGCGTCTTTTGCTAAAGTTGGAGGTCTTAGGCATCTGGCCTCCTTTATTCGGATTCGTCCGATTTTACCTATCCAGCCGCTATCAGAAAGTCATGGTTGGTAATAGCTACACGACGCCCCACTCGATCACACGTGGCGCAACTCAAGGCAGGATTCTGGGTATGATAATTTCCATTCTTTACTTCAATGATATTTCGACTGAAATCAGAAATTCGCAGACGTTCATTTTTGTCAATGACCTTAGGTGAGTTTATACATACTCTAAGGACGCCGCAACTGTTTGCGTTGAAAAAAATTAACTTCGATCTAATATGCTTGTGAAAACGAAATTCAACTTAACAGATGGACTTTTATTCAGTATAATTCAGTAATTCAGTGTATATGAGGGATAGAGGCAGAGCCTTGGAAAACCCTATTAACAGATAGACGTATGAAAAAAACATGCAGATATTTACATAGCAGTTATGCCAGTCATTGATATCATGAAAATGTTCGACCATCAAGCATAAGTTTATCTAGTCTTCTTTTGAAAGTCTCGACATTTTCTGCTAAGACAACGGAGTTCGGCAATTTGTTCCATCCCTCAACCAGCCGGTGAGAGAAGAATCTGGCCCGCAAATGGAGTCTGGCATGTTTCGTCTTCAATTTGTATGGGTGCCCTCGGAGATTTGTCGTCCGCGCCAGTTCGAAGAAGTCGTCAAACTGAAGAGCACAGTCTAGCCCTCGGACGATCCTGAAGGCCATGATCATGTCCCCTCTGTACTGTCTATAAGAGAGAGGAAATATTTTTAGCTTCTCCAGCCGTCTCTCATAAGGTAAGCCACATAATCCGCCGACTAGCCTGATCGCTCTACGTTGTACGTTCTCCAGTAGGGTGTAATCTTTTTTCGTCCAGGGACACCATGCCTGGACACAATATTCCAACATTGGTCGAACGTATGCGCCAAATACTCGGCCGAAAATTTCTTCATCAAAATTTACTAAGGATCTTCTGATCGCGCCTAGAATACCCATAGTTTTCTTTGATACCTTGGCGCAGTGAGACGATGGTTTGAGAGTTGACGTCATCCACACACCGAGGTCTCTTAACTCGTTGGCTGATTCGAGT